GTATTAAACAAAATTTGAAGCAGTTTTTTAAATCTTTATAATGTTAAAAAAAGCACAGTGTAAAAGCTGGTAAAGTGTGATCTGATAAGCTCTCAATCTTGCAAGAATTTATGTCACTTTATTAGGCAGCTTCAGAACATTCACGTAGAAAAAACTTTTCAGGTAGAACGTCAAACAAATTTTGGAGTAGCTGAACAAATGTACAGTTGCCAAAAAAGTATATCTTTTCACTTTTAGCGCACAGCAAATTTATTAGTGGTTTCACCTACTTTCCCAATATTCAGACCTTGGTGTACCTTTGAAAATCAGAATGAAACTTTCTACAGATCAGAAAGCTTTGGTATCTACATTAATTTTCAGTTGCTTTTTTAAGTCTCTTTTTTGGCAAAACTGTACAGCTTACCTAAACTATTTCCACATTTATAATGTTTATTTAAACAGCAAGCGAAACAGGCGTTTTTACACAGCTTAATGAAACCATAATAGCTTTCGTTAATACATTGCTGTAAAATATTTGTCACTTGTTGTCTGTTTACCGATTTTACAAAAACTAAGCTTTTTTTTAAAGAAGGACAACACTGCCAAAAGTCTGCTGAAATATGGTGCTTCGAAAGAAATTTTAAAACAGCTAGATATAGTTCTTATTATAAGAATGTTTCCTTTCTAAACAAAGAGAAGAGAAAGAAAGAGATAGGTAAGCAGCGGTACTGAAAGAAATGACGACTCTACGCTTTAAAATTCTCACAGTATAAAAAGTAATAGAGCTCTGCGAGTTTTATTTATAGAGGTACAATTTTAGGGTCAATGCCTACAAATGCTTAATGATAAGTTCATCAGAGTCAGTCTTAGTGGTGCTCTCAGGAGTAAACTGAAAACCAGCAATCTTAGTAGTCGCTTCAGTGGCGATTTTACACTCCAATCTCTTCAGAATTGCAAATACAGAGAGCGAATATACTCATTCTCAAAAACTGCTAGGTGGAGCAGCACTGTTAATATACAGAAAATGTGAGACTAGACTTCAACATGTCTGAAACTCTAAATTAAGACTAACATGTTGCGTTGTTCTTGTAAAGCCAAACTGTAGTTGAAATCATAATCAGTTTCAGAAAGATGACTTTTTTTGTATTATAACTGTTTATGGATAAACCACTATTACTTTGATATTTTGCTTTAATTTACACGTGCTAAATTTTAGCAAAAGCTATAATGTTTAGCACAGCCATTATCTCATTTATACAAAAGCCTTCTCTGAATCAGAATCAGACACGGAAAAACACTCTTTCCATAAAATCTTATATTTTAACCGCAAAAAGATAAAAGATCTTAAACATTCTTAACTAATTCTATATTTAGTAAATTTATTGTTTTGACTTTCAAGAAAAGCAATCCATAACTTTGTTAAGCTCCTCTTCTTTTTCAGGTTTTTTCAGCTTACTCTAGAACAGTTAAAAATAGATATTATGTAACGGAGATTGCTGATATCTAAAAATCTGTTAAAACAGTCTATTTGGAATCTTAAAAATGCATTTGGAAAGGAACCGGAAAGGTGGCTTTAGATATATGACTGAAGCTACATTTTATGTACAGATTTATATAAAGCATCAGATCAACGTTGAAGAACAGATAAATGAGCTGATAGTAATTTTGTCATTTAAACAACTTTAGTCAAACAGCTTATGATAACTTTTTGAAAAAATTTCTCGTGGGCAGAAGCAAAATATTAATCTTATTTAAATTTACAAACAGAAATTTAAATAATTATTACATTTTGAAACTACACTAAAAATTTAGAAACAAACAAAGACTTTTTAGCAATTTCAAAAGAGTTGCAAATAAGCTGTTCAAAAAACTTACATGCTTTCTTGAGCACGTTAAACGCGGAAGTTTCATTGTCTATGTTACGAATATAAAAATCCACGAGTTGGAAAGGAATAGCGTGAAACACTTGAAAAGTTTAGTAAAAAAAATTTCATCTAGGAATGACGTAAAGCAAGTATTTCATTGCAAGATACGAAGCTGTTCTTAGCCTGAGTTAATGTTAAATACCGAGACCTTGATTCTGCAAATTTTGCTTACTATGCTTATCTTTGAAATTTCCAAAGCAAAACTGCTTTTTTGAAAAGAGAGCCAAAATGTTGAATAAAAAATCATACAAGTTTTTTTCTGTTGTTTGAACACTCTTTTCTACTTATTCTATCTCCTGCTAAAAGTAATGGCAAAAAAGCTAGCTTCAACGAAAAAGCGTCAGTTTGGTCGTTATATTCCAACGAGCGACTTTATTCAATATAACAGCAAACAACTTCTTTTTTACTATTTTTTACTAGACAAGTTACTGGTTTGATTGTAGCAAATAATGAGGTATTAATGTTACAGTTTTTGTACTTTAGCACACAAAAATAGCAAAAAGCTCGTAAAGGCTTAAAATAAATTCAGAAAAATTAGACAAATATCATTTTATCGCTGAACTTTTTTTTTTACAGTTTTGAGTTTTTAAAGATATCATATTGCATCGACTTAAAAAGCTTATCGTAAAGGTTTATTGTACTACCTTTTTACTGACGTCACTTTAAATAATTTCTGGCAAAATTTAATAGTTTTTCAACTCAAAACAGCAATAGAATACTTAATGAGGAATTCTCCGTAAACTGCTCTTAGAAGTTATTAAGAAAGTAATTCTTTTCTTTACTAATATAATTGTTTATTTTATTAATTTGAATTAATTTTTCATATTCGAAATACACACAATTGTTTCTTCTTTTTTTTTTCTTTCAACAATTTGTGCAAACAACAATGTACCTATGGACAGTATTTATTACTTACGTTAGCATATATAACTCTTCCATAACAATATGAAAAAAGATGTCATAAAATTTGCAGTCATTGGCAGAGCATTCAATGCACAAAAGATAAGGATCTTTTGTTCGTTTCACTTGCAGAAACCGCAAGTTTTTGCACACTTTTCAGTCATCCTGGCTTTATAATTCGAGTTGTTGCACCTACTTTTCACCGATGCACAGTTGCCGACACGATCGAAGCATTTTGCTTCTACGGTAGTTGGTACTGTTACTTCACCTGGTTGATCTAAAATTGTTTTTGTTCTTTGTCTGCGTTTTGTAATATACTAATATTTTTTATTATTATTCTGGTTAATTTCTGAATACTTTTTACATATTAGGTCAAATATAAAGAAAACTTGCTTTAAAACTTTGTTTAACAAGCTTAAGAAGTAGCTAAACTGCTTCACAGACAAAAAATGAATCTAAATATTTTCATAAAATATTACACCACGTATTACTAATTACAAAAAAATGTTAACGTTTACGCTGTAATTAAGTTTCTTCTTCGCCATTGTACATTAGATATAATGTTCATGTGACAAAAGGTTACGTTTTTAACTGCTTTGTTTAATAAAAAGTTTATCATTTATTGTACAACTTTTTATAGCAAAAATTTTTGATCCTCAATTCTTAAATAAATAAGAAATTCTTTTCTCATGCTTAATCTTCAGTTACGTGCCGCTTAAGCTCAAAGCAGTAACCTGACTATATGATTTAAACCTTAGCACAAATGTATATCCGGTGTAGTATCTCACAACTGCACTCCAATCAGAGTGATTTAAAAACGCCAACGACGCCCAATTCCCTCCCAGTAGTAAAAATTTACAAATAAAGTAATTCCAAAAAAATAAAGGTTATTTGGTTTCAACATGTTTTTCATTTTTACCAACTATAGCACATCTTAAATGTTTATGAGATAGAAAAATTTAGATTTCTATAGGGCTTTTTTCCGCAGTTTGCGATACATGAAAAAAGCAACGAATATTTACTCTATATCTCGTTGTTCTTGCTTCTACAACGGTTCTGAAAACACCCCAAAACTACCTATTTCATATTAATTGTTGCGTAACATATCTCAAAATGTTTTTTAAATCATTTTTTGCTTATAATTTTTTCTATTACGCTCAAAGTATTTCTGTATGGTAAAAGATATTGACATTAATAACACAATGAAGGAGAATTTGATCGAAATGTCAGGAAATGATTTTTTTTTGTACTTTTCAAGGCGTTTCACACTGCTGAAAAGTTTTAATAAATCACGAAAATTAATTTTATACAGCCTTTCAAAAATATTTAGATTATATTAATTAGAAAAAACTACTGATAACGAAGGATACTTTAGCTTGTGGCTTTTCTTAATCTAAGATTTGGTTAAATATTAGAAGTCTTTATCAAAAGCAAGACTTGGTTTAAAACAACCACTTGCCTTTTTGGCCGCAAGTTCCACACGTTTGAGGACATAAATCACTCATTATTCCTTTGTACGCCGAATTAAAACATAAACGGTACGATGTTTCGCAGACTACTCGATCTTTGTCAACACAAGCTGTTGTATTTTCGCATAAGCCGCAAGTGCTTGGACACTCCTGATAAGCTATTTGTTTGAACAATGGGTTTGAACTAGTACATATGCCTTGTTTGAAATATTCCCCACATTTCTTGTCAAATCCTTAAAATATCGAAATTTTAATTCCAACATCTTTTTCTCCGTCATTCTCAGCTGCTTTCTCACTTAAATCAGTAATAAGCAAAAATTTTGATTTTATTTAGCAACTCTGAACTAAACCTGGTTTATTGCTGCATTTGTGTGCGTCATCTGTGCAACATGCAAAACACCTTTTTCTGCATAGGTTGACGAAACTTTCATAATCCGGATTGATACAGTCCTCTGGAACATCCTTTCTGCAAATTCAATTTTATTTTACTAGTTAGCAAATTTTCTTCAAAATTAAAACAATGCTTGTTGAGAAAATACTCAGTTGTCTTTTTGATGGCGTAGTAAGTGCATTATGAAAACGAAGTCTTAGTCAAACGCTCTCACTAGTCTCTAAAATAGTTGTTGAATTTTTTTTAACAATCAATAAGTTGTTTCTAATGCTTCAAAACTTTAAACAGATGACCAAAAAAACGAGAAAGGAAATAAAAATACTGACAGTTTGGGATCGCCACTCTGTAAAGAGAAGAGGTTTCCACATAAAGTGTCGTCTTCGTTTTCACATTTATCAGCTATGTCGGGCACTTCTACGCAAACCGACTTTGTCGTTGATATTACCGAACATGGTACTGTCAAAAGCAAGCAGACGAACAGGGAATTAAACATAACTGTTTTCTTCTGGCAACTGAAAAAACTTACAAAACTATAATCTTTGCAAACTCAGTAAAGCAATCTTTAGCTAACTGTCATTTAGCAACTTGAAGAATTGGCTTAGCAGTTCAAAGCAGTTACTCAACTAGTTCTTTTATCACTACATTTTTTCTAAACTTGTTTTTTATACTTTTAAAAGCAATTAACCTTCTACTGAAAATATTCAATTTGGGTTCTATTTTCTCTAAAAATTCTTAGCAGGAATTTTTCTACTAAAAAGTATAAAGCTGTTGAAAGTTGAATATGTGAAAATTACAACTAAGCTTTTGATTAATTGAAACTAAAATAAGTTACTTTTTTTCTCCGAAGCAATTTTTGTATAGAAATTTTTAAGAGTTTGATTTAAGTTATAATTTTGTCCTTAAAAACTTGTTTAGCAAAAAAATCTGATTATTTTGCTGTATACATTAATTTCTCAAGTAGCGACTGAAATTCACCTGCAATAATTTAAGCAGATAAAAACAAAAAAATAATTAGGCAATGTAATTCGAATAAGCGATATAAAAACGACGAAAGATTTCAAAATACTTTTTAAAAGCTTTTTTTACCAAAAAATTTTGGAAACTGATTTTTAAGATGAGGCAGTCACATTTTTTGAAAAAAATTTATCGGAATTGCTGAAAAACTTTTGCAATCTGTTCCTTTTCTGTTTCATAAAGTTATAAAAAATTTTCTCTATACTTTTGACAAAAAAAAGTTTGAGGTCTTTTTCAACAAACTTTTTTTCCGATAGAACAAAAAAATAAAGAAACATATTTAGATGTACC